GTATGCGATGCGATGGGAAAATGCAACTGCCAGCCACTTGAGCCGGATTGCATTTTCGGGAAAACGGGAAACCGGGAAAATGCATTTCAAGTGGAGTTTGCAGTTGGAAAAGTGCAGCGATCGCATTACACAAGGACTATGGCCAGAAATTAAAAACCAGTACGGGCTATCTCAATCCATCAATCGCCAATTTGAAATCGATTAACCGAGGAGTCAATGGGAAAACGGCAAGGAAACCGGGTCTCTTGCGAAGACTCCTCACCGCCTTTAGTTGAGATGTTGTTGAAATTTGAATGCCCCGAGCGGAATAGCCCCAAAAACCGAGCACACAGCACGCAACTTGAAGGCAGATCGAACATAATTACAAGTCGGGTTGCGGAGAAGCCCCCAAAAACGGGTCGGGAATCTTGACGCTTCTTGAGTTGGGTTCCCCTGCTTTCCCGTTCCCCGTTACCCACTTCACTCTGATTCCGATTCCGATTCCCAGTCCGAATCGGAATACGACGCCCACAAGATGACAAATGGTCGATGGCAACGCCATCCGCAGATGGATAGGCAGATACCATGGTATGGTGGTACCATAATATGCTAGTGCCATGGGATCTCCGAGTGGTTGATCCGAATGGCAGACAATGGCAGAGCAGGTTCAATGACAGCCCCAGCCCGCGATAATCATCATCATTATAATCATCATCATCATCGCATAGCCGGCACTGTGATAATTCATTAAAATTTTGTCGTTTCGCCTTCGTCGCTCTGAATCTCTGGAAAAGTGTCTTGAAAAGCAGTCAAGATATATCCAAAACCATCTAGCCATAACTGATACAATATATCATTGATATCCAGAGAAACCCTAGTTATATCCTAATTTGTTAATTCAGGTCACCTTCTATTATAGAATTTCCCTTTTAAAACTCTCGTTCTGTAAACTAAACAGATCCGACAGGAAAGTGAACTCTGCGAACTTCGAACTTTATTCTCGTCATTAGAAGACAGAGGAACGCCACTAGGGGCGAGTTCCCAAGTTCCTAAGTACTCCATGCTGTGCATACTTAACTTAATGCCTGCAGATCGGAGTGTCGGCCCATAGATACACACAAAGCTATGGCCATTGTACATACATATGTGCGCATATAGTCGTATATATCGTATATAGTATATCGTTATGCCCTGCACATGTGCAGCGGCAATCAAAGATCTGTTTATTGTTTACAATGGCCGGCGGAACCATCGGCATCCCTTCTCTGAGATGCCCAGATACCAGATACCCCGATCATTTTTAGCTGGCCAGGCACGTGCCCTCCCCCTTCCCCGGCGACCCCCCAAATCCCCAATATCCAACCTCCCAAAAGTGCTGATTTCGATTTGGTTTGGCTTCCTTGGCATTCGCTCGCACTACAATTTTCAATTTAATTTATGGCAAAGCAGAAGCTGATACACAGCAAACAAAACATATATCTTCTATATCATAAGTAAGATTTATAGATAACTTTAAGCTGTTTTGGTTTTTCATCTCAGTATTTTGACAGCAAATAATAATTTTTATACTTTTTTTTAGGTATTAAGTACTTTTCAGTGCAGTTTAAAGGGGAAGTGGGGGTGAATAATGCGGCGGGAGTCTTGTTGCACTCAATAATGCTGCGGGATTTTTGTTTATGTTTTATAGACCGTTTATAGGGCGGGAATTCTGGATTTGTGTGCTTGGGAAGGCAGGGATTTCCATTTGGTACTGGCATTAAAGCTCTAACAATTTAAAACATTTTTTTGAATTTATAATCATTATTAACCCTTTGTGTTTCTCTCTCTCTCAGTTTGACTCCATAATTCCTCTAATTTCGCAACCATTTGAATCCACAACTTCTTTACGCTTCGACCATAACTCCTATAGTTCGGCATTAGGTCAACCGCCTCTACTTCAACTCGTTTGAGTCTCACGCAATTTGCTTTGAACAATTGCTAAATTGACATTTGTTCGTGTGCGCCGGCATGTGTGTCTTACTTGTTGCTCCAATTCAAAATAGCAGCAATAACTCATGGCGAATTTTGCCTAAGGAAATGTTGCTCTCTCCTCCGGTTTTTTATATAAAGTTTTTTGTAGAGTAAAGGGGAAAGTTTGTAACTCCGATGTAGAAGTTTAGTTTTTGAAATGGCAAATAGTAATATATTAACATACTGAAATTATCTGAGGAAATTAACGATGCCAAATAATTTCGGGATATCCCACGGTCCAAGCACTGAACCACATCGTTCTTACTTGATTTTTGGTTTTGGTTTTCTTGTTTCTTTGTCATATGAAATTGGCAAGCAACCTACGATGATCGCTGATGGTTTTTAATTACATGGCAGCTCGCAGACGCTGCCTCTTAACCCCCCAAAGCCCCCGAAACTACGGGTTTGGCGACCACAACGGCAATTAACAATCTTTTGGCGGCGACAACACTTAACGGGACAGCATTTTGCCCAGTCGAACGAACGCATCGATTACCTGAACGGAGCTACGCACCTGAAGGCGTTGCTGAAGCAGGTGAAAATCGAAAAAAAAATCTGTAAAAAAAATCAGCGGAAAAAACAAACCAGCAGCTACGCAGATTTTACGCAATTGGGGACAGCGGACGAAAAAAAAATGGGAAACTGCCACGGGCGGTTTTCCCAACACTCCTTAACTTCGTATATTATATGTACATAACATATATTATGCACACAAAAATTCCGAAAAATTCAACATCTAAAGCAAAACCTTTGCCATCAATCAGTGGGTCTTGAAGTATGGCAAAAATACCCGCACATCACGTATACGATCGCATCGAGAGCGGCTGACCCCGAAACCCCAACTACTTGTCCGAATCTGAATGAATGAAGTGACAGCCAAAGAAGCCGGAGCAACAAGATCCAGCTAAGCAAACATTACAAAAAAGCGTTTGCCAAAAATGTGAAACAAGAACAGGCCAAAAGTAAAAAGTGCCCCGGCAAAAATTGGCGGAGAGAATCGCTGTATGGAGACCTTCGGAAGCCATGAATCTGTTTTGGTGTTTTGGTTTTTGTGCATCTGAAGGCTTTCATTGCGAATCTTTTTTTGTTTTGGTGTCAACATTTGAGCAGAGCACCAAATTTGATTTCAACCCAAGCAGAACTAACGTATCTAGCTACGTTTTATTAAGAGGTCTAAGATAAGGAATTAATAAAATATTTAAATATTTTATAATACCAATGTTCTATTCTAATTTATATCCGGCCTTCAATAGGCCAATTTTCATTGGTTATCAGAAAATCAGTAGACGGGTAACCCATATCACCATGGTCGCATGAAACCTCTCCCGAACCCATTTCCATTCCTTGAGGGTTCCCTTCTCCCCTGACTAGCGCGAACCGTAGAAAATGACTTCCCAGGCGGATCAGCGATTGAGTGAATGATTGATGGATGGATGCCCAGCGCACATTATGTCGAATCTCGGATCTCACATATCATATCACCTACCTACCTAATCAGATTAGCTGGATGTCATAACCCGGCGTGGTTATAGTTGGTATGGGTGTGAGATACAAGGTATAGATTTTCACTTACCTGTTTTCCCTGCACCTGTGGCTAAAACGTCGATGATAATGATAATAACGACGAAGGACGGAGGCTGGGGCGATGCAACAATTGCGGTTGCATGTTGACCGGAAGTTTTGGCTGGCCGCAAGGCAGGATATGGATATCGCTGGGTGTCGGAATCGGAATCGGGCTCTTCAGTTTATCGAGTAGTGTATATTCCCTTGCCAAAAGAGAGCCGAAGAGAGAGTGCGAGAGGGCTTTGGCCCCGAGTGTTGGCCACTTTTCACACGCTTTCACTTGAACAAAAACTCAAAAAACTCAAGAAACGCAATGAAACACAGAAAACAAACTCAACTCGGACCACGGCCACTATTTGTTTTTCTCCATCATCGGATCATTCAGGTTTGCACTCGCACTCGCGGTTAAGTTTTTTGGCTAGCACCAAAAACAGGCAAAAGCATCCAGCAACAAGTGATTCGGTGATTTGGGCCCAGAAACAACGCAAACAAAGTGGCAAAGACACACGCGCACGTCGACAATAACAATTGTGTGGCAACGGCGCAAACGCAAACGCAAATGCAAAGACACTAGCAAAAGCAAACAAAGTCAAAGCAGCCGATAGAGTACAAAAAAAACTGCCAGCAAACCGACACGACCGTTCGCTTTGGAGAGTCAAAAACGACTGAGAATTCAAATTAAATTGAGCGGATCTTGTTTTGAATTTGTTTTGATTGGCTGGCGGCAGATGGCGCTGCTGCCAACTAAACGCAAGGAGCCCTCTGGGCGGCCAAAAATCTAGCATTTAACCGGTTCATTCAATCTTCTTTTAATAATTATTTTTTTGAATTTTAAGCCTAATAAACTTATCTCGTTTTCTTGTCCTCTGGCTCCTAACATTATGATCTCATGCTTTAGTTTTTAAACAGACTTTCTATTATATTTCGTGGAGATACTGATGTAAAATATATCGATAACTGTAAGATAAAACGATCTTAGCCATCTAGCGGAAGTTTAGGTAATTACCAAGCGATCTCTAAGCAAAAAAAAAAATAAATAAATAAAAATTTGATATTCATTAAAATGAAATACTTTAAAACGTATAACCTTTAAAAAATAACGTAAATTCACTCCTATACATAAATCGCAATATTCTCACAATCAACTAGCTAGCAACTATACATTCATGATAATAATTATTGTTTAGCTAACGTCCTAGTTGGTTTAACAACCATCTATAAATTGGTTGATGTCCCGGCTTAAGAAGAGACTCAACGTTAAAATTCCCAAGCACTTATTCCGCTGATCAATGGCTTAAATAGCGCACAATAATTGCTTAATTCAGTAGTATACAAAGGGATTAGAGACACTTGTACCCACAAGTGGCTTTGGTCTTTTGCCATTTTTTTTAAACCCATAAACAATTGTTTTAATAAAAAAAAGGTTTATTTTGCCATAATGAATAAAACCAGTTAGGTGCCATTAGTTCTACGGACATGGGTATTACTTGTCTGCTCTCTAGACCTAGTTTCGGTAACATTTAAGAGGAGAGGAGATCAATCTGCCTGGTATTGTTTACGGATATTCGGCTACATGTAAAAACACTTAACTAAATTCGGAGACGAGCAAGAGCTAAGTATGTAATATCTGCAGATAGATACATAGATATACGAGTAAGTACTTAGGGCTAGCAAGCTACTTATCGGCTAGGTATTCAACTAAAGTATAGACAAAAAAATATGACTTGTTGTGGAGGGGGGCTGGGGTTGTTATTGGTACACTCAAGACTAGACTATACATAGGGTCTAAATGGTAAATGGTAAATGGGACTTTGGTTTAGGTGGTTACATGTAAGTGTTGTTCAAGTGTGACTAGTATTCGTTTAGAGTTGGCTTATGAGTAGATCGGCTACAATTACGATTGTTGTCATGGCATCGAGCAGGATCGATCAATATATAGATATACCTATATATTTGTATAGTTCAATTGCTTGGCTGAGCGGGAGCTGGAGGAGCTGAAACTGGAGTCTGCTGTCTGCGCGGTCAAGCGACTATATCGCTGCCGGGATTGTAGCCAAAGTAGTTGAGGTTGAACTCGTCGCTGAAGAGCACCTCCTCCTCGGAGGGCTCCACCTGGTGCGACATCTGGATGCCCAGCTCCATGGGATCGATCTCGGTGATGTAGTACTGCGAGCTGCCGCTTCCACTTCCGCTCCCGCTGCCCATGTGCCCATTGCCGCCCAAATGGTTGTGGCTGCCGCCGCCCAGGTTGCCGTGCTGCTGCCGCAGGACACTTTCCGTGACCACCACATCCTTGTGTATGGGATTGAGATAGTCTTCTGGTTAAATAGAGGGAAATACCATGGTTACTTCGGGTAATTAAGGGACGATATCAATGGGCTACCACCATTTGCAAATAGCAAAGAGTTACAAGGCCTTTTTACTTCCATTTTTAGATTTTAAATTATATTTAAAGAAGATTCACTTTCTTTATTTATTAATACAAAAAATGAACAAAAAACTGTGTATATATAATTTTTATTTATTCAATTGGAAGTTTTTTATTAGAATTTTGACTATTTTTTATCATTTGGTTACTCAATATCAAGATTGTGTTTATCTGATGGAAAATACTTAACTACAGGTAATGTTCTAGTTAAATTTGTCTCTGTTTTTTTTTAGGTTTATCTGACTGAATTTCCTACTGAAACGTTTTTTATCTATAAAACTAACATCACATTAAGGTAAGGTAATTTGCTTTTCATCTAACTATTAAACTTCGTGTTGGCTTTCTCTGATTGATAACCAACTACAACCCTAACATGACATTGAGAAAACGGCCCATAAAGTTTTTAAATATTTTAAAATTAAAAAATTTTGAAAACCTTGTTTTTTATACACTCAAGTTGCAAGTGGTGGCCAACTGCAATAGATTTATTTCTCACCATTATCCAGCAGGACATCGTGATAAGTGCTGATGATGGAGTTGACCGACTGCACCTCCACCTCGCGATGGATTCCATTCAGAATCTGGCCCGCCGTCTTTCGCAGCTCGTCGTCGCTCAGCAGATCGTTGAAGGGCAACAGTCTTTGGTGGTGATGGTTGTGATGGTGGCTCTGGTGGTTCTGGTGGCTGTGGTGATGCTGCTGCTGGGTGGCCTCGTTGCCACCGCCGGACGACTGCATCATTTCCTGGGTGAGAGTGGCGGCTGCCACCGCCGCTTCATCGTAGAGACAACTGCTGGCCTGCTGTGCCGTCTGATGTTGCTGCTGCTGCTGCGGCGAGTGTTGCTGTTGCTGCTGCTGCTGATGTTGCTGCTGCAATTGCTGCTGCTGCTGGTGCTGCTGAATGCGCTCACGGTTGATCGACTCCATTTTAAAGAATAAATCCAGTCGCTGCTTCTTCTGCAATTTCAATAAAGTATTATTAAGAGTTAAATGCCTCAGAGTAATGCCCACTTACATGCTCCCAGGCCAGGACATTCTCGGCCGAATCTCCGCTGGAAATGGCCCACAGGTGACCGGCTCCTTGAGGCGCCTTCACGCCCTTGCGAAAGTGTGGGTTAATCGAGAGATTGTGTCGAACTGAGTTCTTCCAGCGGTCATCATTGGATTTGTAGTAGGGAAAGCGATCGCTAAAATGTTAAAAAAGGGAATTTAAAACGTTTTTTTTCGTAGTTTTAAATATGAAAAGATTATAAAAATAAGATGTTGATTCCTTTGCAAAGTTAAAAAAATAAACAGGTGTCCCTTTTGGGATTGGCTCTTCAACAAGAGCACTCACCACTGGCCAATGGCCAGTTGACCAATTGCAATTAAAGTTTCAGCCCCTTTTTCGACCAGCCAATCCGGAACGGAAACGAGGCAATTTCCATGAAAACACGTCATCGCACAGCACTGCGGCAGACCCATACAAGTCCGTGCAATACTTGAATACCGTTTACGGACATACGGACATACGAATATACGGACATGGACACGGACACGGACATGGAAAACGGAAAAGGACATGGACAGGGACACTGGCACAAATTATGCGTCGTTTCTTTCATTTTTTCCCCTGGCTTCTCTGGCTCGTTTTTATTTGCCAGTCAGTCACGAACAGGCGATTTCGGAAGGTGGATGGATGGTAAAAATCCCAAAAAAAAAAAATGGAGTATGCCCCCTGTCTAGCAGGTGGAAGAACCCGCAATCAGCCCACTGCCACCGCCACCAGCTCTACCACCACTTTTCAGATGTAAAGAGGAAACAACGACGACCGGAAAGGACATCGCGTGCCAGGATTCTTCGCTGGGTTTCTCGAGGTGGGGTTTTTTGGCGGACAACAAAATGGAAAGTATTTCAAATTACGACACACAGCGGACTGGAGTGGGTGGGCGGCACGCGCCGAGGTGGAAAAACAACCCCCGAATGGGTCAGGCTATGTCATTGGTTAACTGCCACTGCCCCCCGCCGGGGGCCCTTTCCCTCTGCCCTCCACTGCATTTTCTACGCCCACATTTCAGCTCGAAAGCAATCGAAAAAAATTTCAGCACGCGAGCCAAAAAAGAGGAGTTTCGGTTTGGAAGGCTCTTCCCCCACACACCCAACATTTCTTTAGCTATTTCGTATTTTCCTTTTTGGATTTTCCCTCTTTCGGGAGAGAAATGACGACTCATAAATGGAGAAGTGAACTGAAATATGGAAATCTACGGCCTTTCCCCCCAACCCCACCACCCCACGAAGTCCTTAATGACCCCTCGGCAATGTCCTGATAACTGCGATATGTGGGGGACGTGGGATGTGTGGATCCCCCTCTCGAACCCGTGATATATATGGACTCCCGCGGGGACTTGGCACGCAGCCCGTCATGACGCATCAACCGATGATATGGCACTTGAAATTGCCTTCGCCGGAGTTGGGATCGGGATCCAATATCCCCATGAATGAAATCAACTCCATTTGCCGGTGACTTGGCTGCTTTTCCTTTTGTTTTTGTTGGAAAGAGTTGGGTTGGCCCAATGATAGTTGAGCTTCCTAATGGACAGAGCTTTCTGCACACATATAAGGTGCTATTCCGTCCAGTTCTGAACTTCCCGGCTTTAAGTATGTCATTATGTCGTGTTTTGTCTCTTTAATTATGTTTCTTTGAATTCCATATTTTAAGTAAAGTTTAGTTGTTTAAATATATTCTGGAATTTCTTCATTTTAATTCGATAGTATATCGTTAGTATTTCCACCTAGGAAAAACTTAAACTTTGTCAATTTACGAGTTTCCCAACCTCTTCACTTTTCGATTTGCCGCATGCACTTGTAAATTTCAAAATATTAAGTCAGCCATTGATAGTCCGGATGGGATAGTTTATGTTTATGGGCGCTGCATGACTGTCTGGTCTTAATCATGCACCCAGCCAATCGATAGCCTGGCTTTCTATATAAACATATACACAGCGAACTATCCGTCCGGTGGAGAAGGTAAATTATATATGCAAGTACAAGTGTGTATATCATGTTTTGTCTGCCGCACTTGTCGAATTGTCAACGTGGCTTCAAGCACGTAGTTCCCCACGTTCCTCACCCGAAGGGGGATTACCTTAAGGGGGTGGAAACCACCCACTTTTCAGGTGGTTCGGTGGTTGGAGTGCTTGGTAAAAATCAAATACCCGCTATCAGCGTCGTCATCGTTGTCAATGAATTTGACTGACTGACTTTGCCTCGGATTTGAATTTGGCTGACTGCAGAACAGAAAAAAAAAGTAAAGAGAAGGGCAGGTGAGTTCTGCTATGAAATTGTCAAAATACACGGAAGGCCCGCCCCACTTTCCACCCACATTCAGTTCGTTAATAATAACTATATCATATAGCAAACATCCGCTTGAAATTTAAGTTAAAGAGGTATAGTTTAGGCTAAGTTTAGTAGCTTGAGATGTCAGTTATATATAAGTTTTGCGATGGAATAATAAAAGTTAAAAAGCAAAACACCAAAACTTATCAGATTTGTGTCTAATTAATATAGTTTACAATGCATTTGTTATTTCTTTATAAATAAAATGCACCGATAATGACATGATTAAGTGGAAAATCTTCCGTAGTTGGAAAATGCGGGTCTTAGGTTGCTCCTTTTTATTTTCTTCCTTGCTTTTGGTATCCACCAGTGGCTGTCCAGCCCTGATGAGAATTGCCTTGTAATTGACTATCCAATACCAGGCCCATTCCAATCGCCTCGCCTCCAAGACTCCTCCATTCGGAGCCGCGATGAGGTCTGATAGGCTGCGATGGTCGCTCGGACTAGTTGGTTGGCTCGGGGGCTTTAGAGGTTCGGGAGGCTAGTAGCTAGCAGCTAGCAGCTAGAGGCTTAAAGACCTGGAGGCCCAAATGGGCCGGGCCGTGTCTGGAAGTGCCTGGCACGCAAGCCACCTCAAACACACTCGGGCGCTTCATTTTTTTTGACATGGCAGCAAGGACCGGGCCACCAGACTGGGCAACTACTTCTGGCCCCGGATCCGTATTCCGTATTTATATATAAATATATATATGCGAATTTATAGTATATATCTGAACGGCTGTGGGGCCCACACATATACATGTATTTATTGCACTGCGCTAGTCAGTTCATAAATTGTTGCGGCTCGTTGGCTCTCCCCGGCCAATAAAAGAAATTGCCTGGATTTATGGCCAGGAGGAGAGTCGAAAGTGGAAGTTGCCTCATTTCGGTTGTGCAAAATGAAAAACTTTTTAATGGCAATTGCCAATTTTTCGGTTCCTTCTTTTTTTTTGTATATTTTTTGCACTCGCTGGGCGGAACTGTGGCCGGCCACGCCCCCTCCGGGCAAATCGAAAGCCAAAGTTATCCCAAGAACATCGGACTCGATCTTGGTTGGCAGTTTGCAGTTTGCAATAAGCCAAGAAGCCATTGCCATGCGGTTTTTCCTTGTGGGAGGAAAGTCGTTTAGCCCAAGAAGGAAATCTTTTCCACAACAAAGCTCAGTAAGGACAAAATCAAAATTAACCTTGATACAAGAGAAACTTAGTTTAGTTACTGATAAAAAAATATGAATTATGTTAAACAGAACATCAATAAATAAATATATTTTTAAGGAAATTAAGAGGGTTTATATCGTTGGCAAAAATAATTAAATTACTTAGGATAGAATCCTAAAAAAACAAGAGAGAACGCTGGACTATTATATTCCTGTTACTAAGATAACCAATTTAACTTAATGAATATTGGTCAGATTTAAGCTATTCTTGGGATGCCGTAATTGTATTGTATTGTTAGAGTGGGCGTGGCTTTCGGCTGCAGCACTAGCAAAATTTGCTTGCCAAATTTTAACACTTTTTTCTAATTTACAAACTGGCTCCACCTAGCGGTCAAGAGCTTGATTAAAAGTTATTGATAAAGAAGACAATATGCACTTTGAAAATCTTTTAAAATGTGGCCAACAAACAGATTACAGCGAGAGAGGGCGTCGCAAACTTTTTAAAGTTTATCATTAGGTATAGAAGGTAAGGATTCTTCAGGAAAAGTCTGAACCCTCTAGCTCTTATAGTCTCCGAGATCACAGCGTTCCCGAGGACAGACGGACAAGGCTAGGTCGTCATCAAGAATACACATACTTTATGGGATCGGAAATAAAAACAATATACCCTTTTACTCTACGAGTTACGGGTATAAAATAGTGTAAGAAAATTCCAATATTTTTTGGAAATTCAAATAAAAGGCAATAGCAATTTATGCATACGTTTGGGTGTCCTTTAAGAAGTAAGAAATGCATTATACATGCGAAAAGGGGGTATCTTTTGTGACGGTCAGCCATAAATTGTGATAGTTATCCCAGTTGCGGTTGTTGAAGAGGCCGAGTGAGGGGATCCTGCCACATGTCCTGGCCGATCAAGCATGATCCGCATCCCATAAACACTCAATATGCATTGGAAATTGACCGGAAGAAGAGGCGGAGGTGGAGGCCGGGGCGTAGCCACCCCCGCTTAGCCCACTTAACCCCTTAACTCGAACCCTAACCCCGAACCGAACCGAACCGAGCCGAGCCGGGTAATTGCTCTCTAGCATTTGGGCATGGAAATGGGCATGCACATGGGCATGGGCATGGGCACGTCAAACACCTGATCCCCGGGATGCAATGATGCATGTAAAAGGTGTAGAAAAGCCGGAAGGACCCCGACTTGCGCCTCCAACCCTCGCAATTAATAATTATTGTGAGCAGTGGAAATTTCATGGGCAATTGCCAGGGCGAAACGATTAGGAAATTGGAGGGGTGGGGGGATAGAGGGTAGAGGGTTTACGGGTCGCGTGGGCGAGCAAAGTTCCGTAAATTGCCATTGGAAAACGGGGGAGGGGGGTTTTGATGGTTGAAAACCCTGCGCAGGCGCCATTTTCGCCTTGACTGCACGAGGACACGGCCCTGGGAACCCCGCCCCTCCCACAAATCCCATCCCCCCAATACCACCCACTACCAAACGCGGAGCCACAAAGTAAATTTGTGAATGGTTAATGAAAAGTTTCCCAAACTCCAAGCTGCCGAATCCAACCGAACTGAAACGAAACTAAGCGAAACTTCTTGGACCGCCGGTTCATTACATTAAATGCAGGGGAAGTGCGCAGGTGATGGGCAAATGTCATAAATTATTTGCCTCCCCCCTCCTCAAAGGGGGTGGTTTTATATGTAAATTTATATAGGATATTTACACGCAACATTTTCGGCTGCGGCTTCAAATATTTACACTGATTCAGGAGCCGCCGAACAACAAAAAATACAGGTGCGGAGTCCGCGGGCGGAGGACGGAATGCCAAATTAATGAACCTTGAAAAATGTGTTAAAAGTTTTCGTTCTCTTCATTTACGATTCTTGTCGAATTGATATTTTTCAACTTAACTTGGACGAAATGGGTTTGGGGAAAATGCAAAGGGGGGAAAAGTGGGGAGGGTCGCCAAAACTAGGTAATGACAAAAACCCAAAACTAAGAATGGGGCGAAAAGGGTGGAAAATCAAATATGTCTATATAAGTCGGGTTTTAACTGATAACTGGGTTAGCTGGGGATTTCGTATAACATTATTTTCATTGAATAGCTTAAAAAAAAAGCTATTTCTTTTATAAATAATACTATTATTTTCTTGGGGCTATTAAAAAACGAAATAAATAAAAACTATATAACGAAAAGTATTTACAATTTTTTCCAAAAACATTTAATAAACATAAATCATTTAAAGCTATCAAAGTTAGATTGTTTTTTATATTTTCTAAAATATACTTTCGTAAAGAAAACAAAAAATACATCGGAAAATACTTCATCTTTGAAAGAGACAATAATCTATATACTATTTGAACATCCAATATTAAATATTAATGTCCCAATTAAAGAACCTCCAGCAATACCTGATAAATAGAAAGAACCTGCTTAAAGTAAACAACTTGTTGAACAACCCGCAAATAGTTTGTGTTACAACATTTTCGTTTTTCACCTTATATGCGAGGAAGGCAAGGAAAATGCATTTTTCCAGCCCATAAATTTGTTTGAGCTGCTAACTTTTGGCACTTTCTTTGTTACCTTTGTTGTTATTGCTGGTGTTGCATTCTGTGTTGTTTGGTTAACAACCAAGGAGCAACAACAGAAAGAGAAACACAAACACACCTTTCGAAGAACGAGGAAATCAAATGGCCAACGGGAATGCCCAAGAGAAATGCTTAAGATTTGTTTAATTGCATCCGGCTGGCGCTCTTTTGCCCTCAACAATAATAAAAGGAAAACACTCTACAAAATGGCGTCCATCAAAATGGGTGGTGGGTGGTTCGATGGGTGTGGGTGGTTCGGTGGGCAGAAGTAGTACTTACGATATCCATTGGTATATGCCCGACACAGTCAGCTCACCCTTATCCTCGAGGGCGTATTCGATGAGCTCCGTGTAGGTGAACGGTGGTTTCTTTGGCCTGCTTGTTTTGCGGTGGTTGGTTTCGGATTTCAGCCAGGTCGGTTCGGTGGGTGGTTCAGTGGTTCGGTGGTTCGGGTTCGGTGATTGGGCGATCCGATGGTTGGGGGAATTCGTCAATTCGTCGGTGGCATCGATTGGAGGACGGCGGCAAAAGCAAATGGTGAACGCACAAATCGGATAAAAAGTTTCACACAAATATTAGAAAATATTACTATTACGAAAATTATTATTAAAGAATTGTGGATACTTTTAAATGGTTGCATATATAAAGGGCTTACATAATGTTAAATCGAAAGATTTAGAAATTATTTAACACATATTTTGACAAAAACTCAGAAAAATGTTGTATAAAATAGCGAACATAAAAAAAAATAATAATCAAAAATATCGGGAAATGCGCTTTTAAAAAAAAGTGTGCAGTCAATATTAGTTTTGTTTTAGAAAACTATACAAAAGAAATAATATTTTCATAACATTAAATTTTTTTAAAGAATATTATAACTTTTGATGCATGATTATGAGCTAACGAGTTAAAAAAGTTTTGTATTATTCAAACGGAATTGATATAATTGAAATTTTCATTAAGCAAGTTCAAATTAGGTTTAACATTACGGAAACAAATTACCAATAACATGAAAATAAATAAATTAATTAATCATTATGCTTTTAGTGAATTCTAATAAAATGAAATTACCAAAACAAAATCAATACATTATTTAAAAATCAAGTAAAGAAACGAGTCAATGCGAAAACAAATGAGTAAAACAATTTCTTATTGTATGAAATATTAAAAATATTATGATTAAAATCATTGTGCGACAAAATATAGCGGTGTTAAAAAAAAACTTTTACGGAAACAGTATAGTTTGAACTTGTATCTATTTTATTAGTTAGGATTTTTTTGATATTATTGGCTGATAAAAAACAATGACATTTGAATCGAAAACTCTAATTTCAAGATCGGAAGTTTTTAATGCATATCTTATTGACACGAATTATTTGGTATTCAATTACATATAAGACAATGCAATGAAGACGTAATAATTAGCTAAAATATTAAAAGTATTAAAACAATAATCATTGTGTGCCAAAACTTCTATTGAATCTGCAGAATCTTTTTAATTAAATATTTATTATAATATTTTACTCACGCCTTGGACGATGTATCCTCGACGACAACGTGCTCGGCGACGATCATGTCGTTGCCGTCCAGCTCCGAGGTGACCTCCATCACCAGCTCCTCGAACTTGCGGCCCGTCTTGGTGGAGCCCACTCCGGCTGCTGGAGAGGCAGCGACTCCAGAGCAGCCGCCTCCTCCTGCTCCACCTCCACCTCCTCCGCTCGTTGGCATCGCCGCACTGGAGCAGCTCTTCGGCGACCTGGCCCGTTGATCCATCATTCCCGATCCCAGGGAATGCGTCGAGTTCGTGGCTGAGGCGGCGGATAAGACGGAGGCGGATGTGGGCGAGGCGGAACTGCAGGGTGACGTGCTGATCGCCATCGCCGTGGAGGCAGGAGGATGTGGGTGAGGAGCACCGCCTTCCGGCAGATTGACTGCCTGTCCGTGGACCTGATTGTGCGGCGACAGGTGCGGGAACTCGTCGAACTTGAAGTTCAGCAGCCAGGACAGGTTCTTGTCCTCGAAGTCCGCCTCGGTGGCTTCGTGGGCGACACCACTTCCCTGGGAGCCCGACGAGGTGCGTCGACCCGCCGACAGTAGCCGCTGCTTCTGCGGCACCAGAAAGTTCTGACTGTGATTGGGATTCTGGCCAGGATTGGGCTGCTGTGGTGCAGAGTTCTGAGATGATGATGATGACGTGGCTGGCGGCGGCGGCGGCAGCGTGGCATTCAGTTGTCCCAGCTCCGCCTGCAGGCCGGAGTTGTAGCGATGGTCCAGCTCCAGGAGCTCGCCACCCGTCCAGCCGCCATTGTCCTCCAGCGGAGCACTCGACGGGGGGCAGTGGGAGTAGGCGGCGGTGGGCACCAGGAGGCTGCTGTCGTAGGCAAAGAGATCGTTGATGAAGGACGTCGTGGATGACTGAGACTGCGACTGAGATTGCGACTGGGATTGGGATTGGGCGGGTGCAGCTGGATTAACTGCCGGATTCGGATTGCTGGCCGGCTGTTCCAGCTGCAGGTGGAACTGCAGATCGCCGGCTGGGTCGTAGTCCAGGTGCCGCTTCTTCCAGGGATTCGATTCGATCGGCTCGTAGACCTGGCCCAAGGCCAGATCCTCTTGATCGTCGTACTTGCGCTTCAGGAAATTGTAGTCCCCGGGAAGACTACTATTATTTTGATTGGTGGTGCTGCTGTTGTTGTTGTTCAGGTTGTTGTTGCCGGGATTGGGGTTCGATGTGGGGCTGGATGCACTGCCCGTGCCGTTGACGGGCATGTTGACAATCATGATGTCCTGGCTGTCTCAATTTCAATCACGTAAGCCAGGAAAAACACACAACGCACACTCGGTGAAAAAAGGCAAAGGCAGAAAGGCACGGGAAAAAAATTGACGTGTATTGTGTAGATAAATATTTGATTTTCCTAATTATTATTTTTTTATTTATTTATTTTTAGTTCAGTTTGGAGAGGGAACTGGTTGGTCCGACCTGGCTAACCGACTCGCGCTGCGACTGGCCACGGAATGCGATGGGCCGCCAGGAGCTGAGACCAACTTGGCTGAGCTGCCTGAGCCGAGCTGCGCCTGCGCCCTCCTCCGCCCCCCGCGCCGACCGTCCACAGCCGCATCCGCATCCACCACCCCGGACACTCAGTCATGCACATAGGCGTACCGCCGTCTGCAGGGCGTTGGAGAGAGAGGACCCGTGCCCGTACCGCTACCCAAACCACCTCCTTCCAATCCAATCGAACCCAGGGTCCAGGCAGTGATGGCACAGGTACAAAGTGCCTTTACCCACACAAAAAGAAATTAACAGGTTAAAAAGCCATTAGAAAATTTTATGTACTATTACTCTTACTCTAAAAAAAACGTAATATCGTATCTAGATGGTAAGAATTTCGACTTGATATGCGGCATCTCAATTCGGTACGCTCGAAATGTAAAACGCCACGTTCTAAGTATGCCAGTTCGAATTTCGAATGTGTCTTTCTCCCTCCCACTCATGTCACTTTAAGGGCTATCTCGCTCGTTTTCGAAATAAAAGAATTTTTCCTTCTCGCTCCCACTCACGCCATATTGCTTTTTCGAAGTACTGCATGGTAATATTTGGATTATATCAGCAGATTTCCATTATGATAATGATAACTATTAATACTCAGGAAATTTGGACATTATAATTTAAAAAATTATACCATTCGATGATATAAAACATGGACTATATCTTAGATTATCTTAAATAGTAAAGGAGGAAACATATTGTACCTGGGTTAGTTTGCAGCAAGTACCTGTGGTACAGCCACCTTGATGCCTGCCACCACTGAGTCCAGGTCATGTGCCGCTGGTTCTGCTTGGTCGCTCGATTCGGCCATAATCGAACATGTGCGCCAAGCTGTCCGTTAGCCAATTTCGCGCTGACAGGGAGCAGGGGGTGATAGGCTATGCATACTGGGTGCTGGCTTCTGGGAGCTGCAGGGTGCAGGGTGCAGCCATTCAAGCGTCTAATCGACGACGTTTTAATGCACTCCATGTACCCAATGTTGTAGCGTACCCTGTAGCCTATGTACCCTTTTTATGCCTCCCGCACAGGTGTTGCACCAGGTGGTTTTCAGCGACTACACCCATCTGTACGACTTGGACAAAAAGTACAAGATGTAACCAAAAATCCCATACATATTTACATATTTAAAAAAACAAAAAAGGTTGAAAAAATGTTTTTTGTGAAAAATTTGGATCTGGTTTTTGGTACAAATTTGAATTTTTCTTTTTGCTTTTTTTACTGTAATTTGGCTAAAAATGGGCTTGCACCAACAATATATACTGTTTTGAACAGATTACAATATAATATTTAAATTTATGACAATAAATCGGAATTTCAATTTTTGATAAAAGTTGAAATTTTTTCTTTTGGTTTTTTTGCTGTAACTTGGCCAAAAATGGTCGTACACCAAAAATACATACTGTTTTGAACAGATAACAAAATTATCAATAAATCCATAACTTTTTCCGTGTGATTTTGGGAAAATAATATTTTCGCCAATTTTTAATTTTTTTATAAGGGGTTCCCTTATGATTTTTTGCGAAAAATTAAAAATAAATAAAATGTCAAGGTTTAAATGCCAATTGATTGGAAATTTAATAACGAGTTCAGAAACGTATAACAGTCCATATTTGGATCAATATTTCCATTCCTACGGTCAAAAAAACGAATTATTTTTTTGTCGAAAACGAAATTTTTTTTTGTTGAAAAATTGGGATCTGAATTTTTGGTAAAAATTTGAGTTTTTTCTTTTTGGTTTTTTGCTGTAACTTGGCCAAAAATGGTCCGACACCAAAAATACATACTGTTTTAAACAGATAACAAAATTATAAAAAAAATCCATGACACACCAATAAAATGTGAATTTTTCTTTTTGTTGGGAGCGTTTCAGATCGCTTGCTTTTAACTTAGCTCCAAAACTGTATTAAAACAGACGGTCGACTGACGGAAATGGCTTTATCGATTCGTGTAATGAACCTGACCAAAAATACTATATAGGTTCGGAAACGTCTGCTTCATCCAGAATATATGTACTTTACAGGGCCGGAACCGTGTGCTCCACTGATATTCAAAGTTCTAACCAACATTTTATTGCACTCTGAAAGAGCATACGAATTCCCATGTTCCACCACTTAATCAAAAACAGAGACATTAGCACTTCGGATTCTCGTTTATTTAATTCCATTGATCACTGGTTGAATGAATGTTTGACAATTCGGCATGCATATGTGTGTTGATGAATATGAGTGGGCGAGTGTGTTCTTTTTGGGTGGCTAAATGCATTTGCTTAGTACGATATTTTTCAAGTCCTACTCAGTACAATTTTGTTTGACAAAATGGTGTGATTAGTATTTCTCCCCGTTTTTCGGCGTGTTTTTCTGATGTCTTCGAGTATCGTTAATTAAGGCTAATATTATTTAGTATTTTTCTTTATATTTGTTTTGGTTTCTCATCGAGCTTTAGTTCAACTAGATCGATCGACAGACTTGAAAATGACTTGACTTTTAAACGTTAGTAAGGAAACATTCGTAATTCTCTTCTTAGCAGGACACTTTATAACCTTCCTGTGAACTGAGAATGGCGTAGGCATTGGTTAGTCCTTTTTGATGTGAAAATTGGAAATGTGTTCTACTTCTTTGTTGTATTTTCTTCAGCAACGTATTATTATGGCCAAGAAAAAGCTTTTGGGAAATGTTTGAGGAAGCAGCTTCACTTCCTTCTGCTCATTTTTGAATAAAACTTACTTATTCTTCCCACTGCTTGTGTAATTACTTGTAATATATATATATATTTATTTCCGCCTTGCCGCCCTTTGTTTACGTGTTGAGTTAAGAAAAGCTTTGGGAAATGTTTAAGTTGTTTCTGAGCTGGAAAATGTGTAAGGCAGCAGCTTTTCTTTCTTTTCCTAGTGTGTTTCTTATCCCTTCTCTATCTGCTTCTCTGTCTCCCGTTGCCATCCTTTCATCTCGCTCTTTTTCGTGTGTATCATTTGTTAACTTATGTATTTTCATCGCCGCCTGTCCCGTGTCATTCTTGTCGATTCCCGATCCCTAATCCTTAGTCCAAACCATCGTCGACGAAATCGGCGGAGCCCTTCTTGGTTTTTGGCTCGCTTGGCTCTCCGGATTTTTCCTCCGCCTGGCCAAAAGCAGCTCCCACATCGCCGCCAGGCACGAACTTCTTGATCAGGTTGAAGATCTTTGGATTTGACACGTACTTCGAGATGTTGGCCGGATTGCCAAGGATGTCCTTTGAAAAAAATGGGCATTACATGAAAATGAATATTTTAAAAAGGTAAACAAGTATAAAAATAGTAACTAATAGCATGAATTTACATTAAATTCATAATTTAGTAATATAAAGCGTACCTGCATGGCGGCCGCCACCTCGGGATCCTTCATGGCGCCCATCAAATCGGCCATGTCCGGCATGCCACCACCACCGCCGCCGCCAGCAGCGCCGGGGAATCCGCCCGGGAATCCGCCAGGGAAGCCGCCGGGGAAGCCTCCGGGGAATCCGCCAGGGAATCCGCCGGACGATCCGCCACCTCCGGAGCTGGCGCTCTGCTTGGCCTGCTCCTTGCGGGCGCGCCTCTGAGCCCGCTGACGCTCCTTGATCTTGCGCTCGGCCTGGCGACGCTCCTGCTTTACGCGATGCTGCTCGATCTTCTTGGCATTCGGCGTAACCTCCTTGAGCCACTCGTCCGTCTCCTCGTCAAAGTCCAGCTTGCACGCCTGCCGCAGATCCTTGGCGGCCAGTTCAAAGTCGCCGAGGAGGCGACGGGCACGTCCGCGGAACTTGTAGGCGGCCGCCGAATCGCAGTTGAGCTCCAGCGCCTTGTCGCAGTCGCGGATGCAGGCATTCGGCTTCTTCAGCTTGAGGAAGGCCTGGCCGCGCTTGGCGTGGAACAGGGCATTGCCCGGATTCAACTCGATGGCCTTGGTGTAGAAGGCGATGGCCTCGTCGAACTTCTGCTGGCCGTAGGCGGATGCCGCCTGGGCGCGCAGATCGCCGGCCTGGTCCACCTCCTCCTCAGTGGGCTCCTTGGCGGAGTCGCCCATCGGCTGGGCGGGATCGCTGTCCGCCTCGATGACACCTGAAAAAAGGCGAAGACATGTTTATTGATCGGAATCATAATCACTTAGGCCCGTTAAATGTTCAATTTTGAGTAAGGTTTATACAATGAAAATGCATGAGAATTCAGAGTTTAAAGTCTACTTCAAATCATCAAACCGGCCTTGCAATTTTAACTTATTTTCTCTTTGTACGATTTGAATATCATGTTTTCTCCAAAGTTTGATTATATTAACCAACAAAAAAATAATTTTTCTGGTCAAAGAAAGAACTGGATGGGGATAAGTTCCTTAAAATCATTAGTGTTTTAGTAATTAAGATACTAAATATTTTCAAACACATTGGTTGTATAGAATCTTGCAATAGCTTTATAAACTTCACTCTAGTTTGAACTAAATGGAAATTTAATTTGGAAATACAACATTTTTTAATTTAGGACAAGAAATAAAAAGATTTAGAAAACTAATATTATTTGCTTAAGAGAAAGTTGTTTATAAATCTTAATTGTTCAACCTTCAACTAATTGGTTTGTATTTTTGGTTATTAATATAGAACCCCAAAAAACAACATATTTCGATAGTAACTTAATTTAATTAGAGTTTACAGCAGTATCTATCATATTATTGATTCACAGCATCGAGTGTTTACTGTACATATTGCAGGATTCATATTCATGGTGGTTTTAAAGTTATGAAAAGTTATATTCACACAGTACTAGCAATATAAGTAAGACTATTAATTTAATCAAGTTTAAATCAGGGATATTATAATGAAGAATGTCGATTGTATTCGATTCGGAGGGCTGCCAACTCTGTTATTCAGGGGAGATTCCAGGGTGGCGACCCCTTAATGACCACGTGACTCGGCACAAATTGTTACCCCCTGGCTTTTTGCACACTCACCCTCCATGTCCAGCTCCACGTCCGATTCGGGTTCGGAGAGGGACTCCTCGTCCTCGCTGTCCTCGGAGGCATTATTATCGGCGGAATCGGCGGCCCCAGAAGCCGGCTTCTTGGCCTTTGCCCCACCAGCGGCATCGCCACCAAACGGACACTTGCTATTGATAAACGCGGAGAAAAGCAGGGAAAATAGATGTTACTCATGGGCATTACTTAGGTGCACACAAACTACAGGCAATCGAGATTTAAGAGAGATTCTTACCCTCCGGCGGAGGCGTCGGGCATCTTGAAATCACCAGCCGGCACCGTGCCCCCGAACTTCTCCACGAAATCTTTGACGAACTGCAGCTGCGGCATGTTCAGCACCGTGGGATTCGAGTCCACGAACTCGATGAAGCTCTTCAGCTTCAGCAGGTCCTCGTGTTGCATCGGCGCTGCCATTTCTATGTCTCACAATCTCACAATATCTTTGAAAAACTATATATATATATTCCGATCTGATGGCCTTTTGTATTTTTGCTTCTTTTTTTTTACTCAGTTGTAAGTGTGGCAGCGAGTTGATAATACCGTATGGCTCCCACAGAAATATACTAGAAATTCTCAAAATAAACGGTCTCACGCAGGTGTTTGGTTCGTGTCCTGACTTATCCGAGTCACGATCCCAGCATTTTAGCGAGACAGTTTGAGAAGCACTGACTTACGTTCTGGTATATACCAAATAAATACTAAATTATACCCTACCATGGGTTAGCGAAGACACGATCCTAACACTTGTGGGAGACTGTTCTCGAAACATCGATAACAGATAATCGACTTGACATCGATATTTCTGGCACATAAAAAGTGTTGAAAAATTTTAAATTTTAAAATTCTCAAAGTATAATTACTGATTTGGGGCTTTTAGCAGATTATAAAGGGATTTGAAGGGACAAAACTTATTTATTTTTACTTCTACCCAAAAATCCATTGAAAACCGTTTTTTTAAATCATTTTAGTATTTTTTTATTTTCAATGTTTCGTCTTGTTTTTTTTCTTTTGTCTGCTTTTTGTCTTTTGTTTTTTGTTTTGTTTTTTTTTTAGCTTTTTTCGTTTTTATTCTGAATTAATTTATTAATTAATCTTTATGTTTACTTATTGATTTAGTATCTTCTTCGCGCTTTTTCCTCTCAGTTAGCCGCCCCCGTTTTTCGTCTTTGCTTCATGTTTTCAGCTTTCTCCGCCTTTTCTTTGAGGGGAGGGTGTTGGGTGGGCGGTTGAAGGCTCAAGGGGTGGAAATGGGGAGAATTGGGGTGGGGTTCGGGTTTCGGTGAGGGCGGTGGCGGTGGCCTTTTCTGAATGCCTTTCTTTTGCTCGCTCGCATGCAAATATTTTTTATATCCTTTCACTTTAAATAATTTTTTAGCATAACTATTAAATAATTTGTTTATATATAATATATATATATGTATATTCAGTTTTTTTTGTTTTTCGCTTTTCGTTCAATTTAAATTTTATAATTATTATCGTAATTATTATTTAATAAAATACTCAACAAATAATTTAATGGGTTTTGTTTTTTCGCTTCTCCTCCGTGTCTCGCCGTTTTTCATGCTGCTGCTGTTGGTTTTTTTTGTTAATTTTTTGTTTGTTTTTTCTTTTTAAGTATTTATATTTTGATTCGTTTAGTACTATTTAAACACTTAGTAGGTATTAATTTGTTTAGCTTTATACGCTTGCGTGTGTGGTTGTGTGTTTGTCTAAGTGTAGCAACTTTCCTCTATGAAAAACTCAATAAAATTGAATCAAAGACGTAAATAAATAAAAACATCTCTTTGTGGGTTTTTTTTTATCAAACATTTCGCTTGTTTATTTTGTTTCTCTTGTTGTTGTTTCTGTTTCTTGGTTGTTGTTGCTGGTTTCGCTGTGGATCGAACCGAAACCGTTAAGTGGTAATAAAAAATAATGATAATGGTAATCAAAATAATAATAATAGTTTCGTTTTAAATATGTATAAGTTATAATTTAAAGATGTGCATTTTACATAATTATTTTATAGATAGATTCGCTCTCATACTTCATGTATCTTCTTTCCTTATCTCCATGCTTCTCTTGCATTTCCTTTATCTTTTATCAAATTAAATTAACACACGCCATCGATATACACACACATTTAGATATCGACCATTATGGTATGGGCTAATCCTAACGGTTTACATTAAACGGAAAAAAAATCGGAATCATTATCCTCATATCATTATTCTTTATAGAGATGCAAAAAAAAAGTAATCTTACAAACTGATTTGCTAAAATTAAAGGAAAGTACGTACATATACAAATTTGCATACAAATCTGAAATGGTTCTTCTGGTTTTTATGTTTGTTTTGTTTTTTTTTACGGATTTTCTTTAATTTTAATTTTAATTAGGCATAAATTATTTATATAAATATTTACAGTTTTCTTTGCTATTTTTAGGGAGTTGTTGCCGCTGCTTTTTTTCTTCTTGTTCTGCTTGCCGTCCTTTTCTAGCGCCCATTTTTCTTCTCTTTCGCGCACGCCTTTGCCGTTTTTCATATTTTTTCTTCTTTACTCTAAAAACTAATTTCGGTTTATTTTTTATGCTTTTTGCTTTGTATAGACTAAAGAAAAAAATGTTTCTCGCTTTTTCGTGAATCTTGCATCCTTCTTTGCCCGCTCACTCCATCTCTTTCACTCTTTCACTCTTCGGAGCTTTCAACTTTCTCTTGTAGGGTTTTTTTTTGTCTGGCATTAGGCAGATTTCATATCGGTTTTACATACATATAGATCTATATATTATTGAAACATTTAGGTTGGTAGTTCATGTTCTTTTTTCTGGTTTTTTATGTTTATATATATATTTCTATTAATATGCCTTGGATATTAATATTTAATACAATGTTACGCATAGTGCATTACAAATATAGTTTTAAAATTAAAAAAAAAAACATGTATGTATATATATATCGATACATATATATATATATATTTAATAAAAACTATTACATTAGTTTACTATGTAATTAGAAGTAGATTACTTCAAATGGGTTTATTTTTCTGCCGATTTTCTGATCCGATCTGAGAACCTGATCTCTAGCTTTTCCCCTTCCATCGATTTTTCTCGCCGTTTCTCATGTTCTTAGCGTTTTTCTTGTGGCATATAAAAAAAATGGTTATCTGATTCTTTTTCTCTTGGATATTTTGGAATTGCATTTCGTTTGATTAAGTTTTTAGTTTTTATCGCTTCGGTTTTTTGTTTGTCGTTCAGATACGAGTATATACAAATGTATATGTGTGTGCGGTGTGTGATTGATGGTATTTTTTAATTTTATTTTTAAATTAAATTTCTTTTGGATTTTGATACAAAACAAACAAAGAATGATTTCTTTTCCATTTCAAAATTAAGATAGGGTATAAGTTGGTTTTAACTTCGTTTAAAAGCGTTAAAATTAAATGTTCGTTGGTGCATACGTTAAAAAAATAAAAAGAAAGATTCGCGGGTAGAAAATGATAAATATATATATGTGTGTATATATGCGAGTACACAATATTGAATATGCATGTATACAAAATGGAAATTGGCAATTAAAATTAGTGTTTTTTTCACTTCTTGTAAGGCAAAAGTAGTCTGCAGTGTCTGTGTGCTGTGCTGTGTTGTGTTGTGTTGTGTGTATGAGTGTTATTTTAATGTTTGAACTACAAACAAACATAACCCAAAAAACAATGCAACAATTTGTAATTTCCCATTGCAAATGTTTCCTCTGCTCTGCGTGTTTACAATCATTTCTATTTTTCTGCTGCTTTTACTGTTTTTTTAGTTTCAGTTTTTATACTGTGCTATTTAGCCTACGCTAATTTGCTACGTTTTCTTTATGGTACCATTATTATTTTTAATACAAAGAAAAAATATTATGTGCCTTTTCGCGTTCTTGGGAATCGTGTTCTTTGCGTTCTTCTCTTGTTTTTAGATGCCACCCTACTTACTAATTTACATTTAGCATTTAATTATTATTTATTTTAGATTAATTATTCTGCTTGGTATTTATAGTTAACAAAAAAAAAAAAGTGTGTGTTTATAGCAGCCTTTATAAACAATTTCTCAAGCTTTCTCCTCGGCAATTCATCTCAGCTTTCAACTTTCTGCTTTTCTTCTGCTCCCTCTTTCTATGCTCTTCTCTTCTGGTTTTTTGCTGCAGCTTTGCTTTTCCCTATCTTCCGGGTTTTTCCCCCTTGGTTGTTCGTCTTTCTCCTGCTGTATTTGCTGCTTTCCTTTCTTGTTTTGTATTTTTTTTTTTGCTTTACGCTTGTTTATCACATTTAATATATATATGCATATATATATTTATATATAGTTTCATTAATTTAAGTTTTTGTTGTTGTTTTGCGACTCGCTGCGGAAATTCTTGGGGTGTTGTTACTGTTGTTGTTGTTGTTGCTGACGGTGTTGCTGTTGCAGCAGCAACATTAGCTTGGCTTGGCGGCAGTGTTGCAGGCAGCTCTCCTCCTTCTCTCAAACTCCCTTGTCATTATTCCGTCGTAAATCATCATCACCCTTGTATTTTTTTTCTTACTCTACAGCAGCTCTTGTTGCAGCAGTAGCTTGTGTTGCTGCTGTTGCAGTTGCGCCTGCTGTTGCAACTGTTGCTGCTGCCAGCGCTTGTATTTCCCTTGGTAGGTCGGTGTTCCCCCTCCTCCTGCTGCTCCTCCTGCTCCTCCTCCTCCGGCAGCAGCAGCATTGACAGCATTCGCCGGCATTGTCTGCATATTGTTGTTGATGATGGTGCTGTTGTTGTTATTGTTGTGGAAGTGGGCTGCATCCATCACGGTTTCGTAGCAAAAGGCCGCTGCATCGAGAAGCGTGGCCGCATAGTTGCTGCTACTGTTTTGCAAATGGAGCTGCTGATTCGGCTGGTATTGCTGGAGTTGAAGATGCTGCTGCTGATGTTGCTGCTGCTGCTGCTGTTGGTGTTGCTGTTGGCTGGCAGCTGAAGTTGCTGCTGCTACTGCGGCGGCGGCGAATTATGAGTTGGAATTACGCTTGGTTGGCAGCTAGGACGAACTCGACTGATTCATATTGCCAAACATGTGGGCAGAGAACGAAGTCTGGCCGGTGGAATTGGCCTGCGACGTCGACGACTGTTGCTGCTGCTGCTGCTGTTGTTGCTGCTGCTGTTGCTGCGCCTGCTGCTGCTGGTTGAGCGAGCCTCGGCCGTGCTTCGGTATCGGCGGCTGGATGTACTCGTGCCTGGCCAGCGCGAACACATCCATGCGATCCTCCTTGCGATATGCCAAGCAGCCCCGAATGAAGCTCTAATTTGGGATATAGGAAAATAATATTATTACTCGTTTACTTCGTTTAAAGTTCAAAGACAACCCACCTTTGCCTCATTGGAAACGGTTGGCTTGTTGGAGAACTGCACTTCGGTGGCCTTCAGGATCGTGTTCTCCTCGAGAATCGTGGCCTGCGATTGGTTATGACCGAAGGGCTTCTTGCCGTACAGACACTGGTAAAAGATCACGCCCACACTCCACACGTCCACCTTGGAGGAGATCTTGGGCGGATTTTTGCCCACCACAAAGCACTCGGGTGGCAGATACCTAAAGGGAGAATTAAAATTAGTTTTGATTTCAACTCAAACTTAATCTAAGCTCCCTATTGAATCGGAATACTCACCAATAAGTGCCGGCTCCCTGGGAGGTCAGATCCATGCCGTGATCGGGATTGTAGTTCTCGTCGTCCATCACCTTCGACAGACCAAAGTCGGTGATCTTGATCTCGCCGCAGACATTGCCCTCGGTGAGCAGAATGTTGCCGGGCTTCAGATCGTAGTGGATAACTGGAGGCTTAATCTCATTTAGATACTTGAGTGCAGATACAACCTGCGGGGAGAAGAGAATTTATTTATTAATGGATATCAAGCTTATAAATTAGCCGCAACTCACCTGCATTATTATCGAGCGCGCTTCACGCTCGGGTATAGTCTTATGTTGCTTCAAATAGAAGTCCAGATCGTGGCCATCACAGTATTCGAGCACTGTGCAAAAGGAATTCGCATCGATCTCGAAGACGTCGTAGAGCTTGACGACCCGCGGATGATCCAGCGCCTTGTGGATGTTGTATTCCCGCAAAGCGTGTCTGAATTTTGGTTAATTAGCGAGGGTGGGGTGGTTTCAAACGAGAAGAGACTTTAGTAAATTGTTTTTAATGGCAGCAACCCACCCATGTTAACTTAACCTCATATATTTGCCTTATTTTATTTGGACCTTCTACATTTTAGCATTATTATTCCCTTAATCTGATATTCACAACCCCTTGATTTCTCTTATCTTGACAACTGCCAACTCAATCTGTACAACAACTATATCCTTCTGCTCTTAATCTCTAATCAATTGGCATTCCCCATTGACTTTTCCTGCTCCTCCTCTGTTTTACTACTCACTTGATATAATTAGCTTTCTTATCCTCCTTCCAATCCTTGTTTAATTGGTGCACCTTACATGCGACATAGCGTTGCTCCTTGAGGTCGAAGGCCTTGTGGACCTCTGAGAAGCCGCCCTTGCCCAGCAGCATCAGCAGAAGGTAGCGATCATTCAGCACGGGATGGTTGTTGAAGCGGGACTGTTGGATAGATAACCCAATGATTAGTATGACATAATATTATAGATAACAAAACAGGAGACGCACCTGATCCTCGTTGAGTATCCGCTTGAGCTCTCGGATGTGCAGATTGCGCTCCCGCTCCAGCTTCTCCATCTCCAGCTGCAGGTCGGCGTCCTCCTTCTTGAGGGCATTCTGGCGCAGCTTGAGGATCTCATCGTACTCGTAGTACTCCTGCGCGGTATATGCCCCCGAAACGGGATCCGGCTTGAGGAACGTGCCCGAGTCCGAGCAGCTGCCGCTGTCGTTGCCCCCGAGGCCGCCGCCTCCTCCTCGATCCGACAGTCGATCGCCGACGCCGCCCGAGTTGCCCACATTGCCCCCCGATCCGCCGCCGCCATTGTGCAGCAGTTGAGCCTGATTGGCCTGCGTCGAGTTGCTGCGCGATAGACCACGTCCTCCGCCGCCGCCGACACCGCCAACGCCGCCGCTTCCGACGCCGCCGCCTCCAACGCCACCGCCCACAGCTCCGCCACCGATTGCGCCCGCATTGTTGCCACCCAATCCGCTGTCGACGCTAACGCCGCCTGCCGCGCCGCCCAGGCGATCGCTGCCCGGTCCGGTGACAACGCCGCCCGTCAGCTGCGAGGAATCGTTCGAGTTGGAATTCTGCTGCTGCTGCTGCTGTTGGTGCTGCTGTTGCTGCTGCTGCTGCTGGTTGTTCTGGTTGCTGTTGTTGTTGCGCTTGCGTCCGGACTCCGCCGGACGCTTCTTCATCAGCTGCTTCTTCTGCCGGTCGATCTCCTCGCGCTCGGCGGTTATCTCCTCCTGCCGCCGACTCAGCTCCTGGAACGCATAGCCGTCCGTCCAGTTCTCCTGTAAATTAAATTGGGGGGAATTTAGTTAAATATAAATATGCTATATGCTATTAAAATCCCTTGCTCTCACCTGGAATGTGGCGCCCACTCGCTGGGTCACAAACTGGCCGAGTCTCAGGCGGTTCTGCATGCACTTCTGTCGCGCCTCCTTCTTCTCGATGCTGCTCTTTTCCTTCAGCAGCTTCTTGACCACATCAATGCACTTGGCAATGTGCGACTTGTGCTGGTCGATCGTCTTCTGGTTGCCGACAATCTGGCACTTTTGCTCGTCGGACAGCCGCGTCATCTCGTCCAGCTTCACCTTGCCCGACTCGTGCTCCGCCTCGCGTTCCTGCAGCTCGTGCAGCGAGACCTCCGTTTGGGTGGCCTTGCTGTATGTGATAATGGCCGCCGGCATCGCCATCGGCGGTGGCGGAGGCAGTGGCGGTCCCACGCCCACATTTACCCCAACGCCGACGCCCACACCGACCATGCCCACAACTCCCAGGGAGCCGAGCTGGTGCGGATGCGTGGACACGACAGAGGCCGTCGATGTGGTCGGCGGTCCCAGTTGCTGCTGTTGCTGCTGCTGTTGTTGCTGCTGCTGCTGCTGCTGCTGGGAGAGGGGCGTCTGCTGCTGCTGCTGGATGGACGCGAGGCTCAGGGGATGACCACCCAGGCCGACGACCACGTGTGGAGGAACCATTTGATTGGAAGTCTGTTGCTGCTGGCGCTGCTGCTGCTGTTGCTGCTGCTGCTGCGCCTTGCTGGAGTTGACGTAGTGGAAGTCGGCTCCCGGCTGCTGCTGCTGCTGTTGCTGCGGCGTCTGCGTTTGGGGACTAGCTGGTGGATACAGGGCGTAGGCGCTGCTCGTCTGCACCTGCACCTGCTGGTTGGCGGCGGCTCCTCCTGCCCCACCGCCCGTCGCCACTCCGCTCGCCTGCTGCTGCTGCTGTTGGGTCGTCTGCTGCTGCTGCTGGGCGGATGAGGGCGACTTGCTGCCGCCACCCGTGTGGGATCCTCGGAGACCGGCGGTATTGCCTCCCGCACCACCTCCACCTGGCACACCGACGCCCACGCCCGTTTGCTGCTTGTTGAAGTAGTCGTTGATCTTCTTGTTGTCGCTGACGGGCAGCATGATGCGGGCACTCTTGCCGCCGCCACTGCCGGAACCGGAACCGGCGCCACTCCCTCCGCTGCCGGCGCCTCCGGCTCCGCCGCCACTGCCGGCCGAACCGCCCAGACGATCGCCCAGATTCAGGCTCATGTTCACCTTGGGCATATCACGAAAGGCCAGGGATTTGCCCTTCAGGCTGCTGTTGTTCACCACGGCTGCTCCAGCTCCGCCGGACCCACCGCCACTCCCCGCCTCGTCCGCACTGGTCTGCGGCATTTTCCTCTTCCGCTTCCGCTCCGCCGGCGTCCTGGGCTTGCCCACCGCCGTCACCGAGGCCGTCGTGGTCGTGCCCGCCGTCAAGTAGCCCATCTCGCCCCCGTTATTGGAGTGCTGCGGCGGCGGCGGCGGTGGCTGCTGCATTCCCAGGGCGGGCGCAAAGGCGGGATGTTGCTGTTGAATGGCTGCCGCGGCAGCTACTCCGGGCGCTGCTCCGCCGCCACTCAGCATATCGTTGACATCCTTCTCGCTGTGCGAGGAGCCAGTGCTCATATTCGAATCCGGATTGCTGCTGCCCTGGTGCAGCCCCTGCAGCGACTGTTGCTGCTGCTGGTGGAAGTGTTGCTGCTGCTGGTGGAGCTGCTGCTGCTGCTGGTGCAGTTGCAGCTGGTGCGGATGCTTGTGCAGGTGCTGCAGATGCGGCTGCGGGAGGATCTGCTGCTGCTGCGCCTGCTGCTGTTGCGCCTGCTGGGGATTCTGTTGCTCCTGCTGTTGCTGCGACTGCTGCTGGGCGCTGTGATGGTTGGCAAAGTGCTGCTGCTGTTGCGGAGGCGGGGGCTGTGCCTGCTGTTGCTGCGGCGGCTGCAGCTGCTGCTGCTGATTGGGATGGTGGTGACTTAGGGCCGAAGTGGTCTGCGGGGCCATCTGCAACTGTGCGCCGGCGGACATCTGCAATTGGTAGTAAAAAAGGTAATGCAATTAGTATATATTTTAGTTGGTCTACTTTACTATTCATAATAATAAATGTTTATATCCTGAGTTCCTATCTGACAATTGCATTTGTATTTTAGGATCATCTTTTTTACTGAATTTAGTACTCAAGATTTCACCACGAGGTATATAAACAAAAATTAAAGTGTTCAAAATTCGTATTCAGTTTTTTCACTTATGTTTGCAATATATTACAAATAAACTATATTTATTATTATTAAAAAATCATAGTGCCCAACATTAATATCACAAAAATATAATTAATTCCATTCCACTTTCAATTTTCCTATTGTTTATTTTTCGCCTTTAATGGGTATTTTTTTCACTTAGCCTTTTGAAAATTTGCACTCTTTTTCTCTCTCATTCTCTCTTCTCACTGACCGCTTTATGCACTTTGCAACACTGACGCCGCTTTTGTTTTGCTCCGGTGCTTCTTTCATTTCGCCGTTCCCTTTGGGCTTCTCTTTCGCTTGGCCGAGAGAGTGCTGCCACATGCGCGGCACTTCGGACATTGCAACTAGGTGGCAACCCCGGGGCGGTGGCAACAAAAGAGGCAGCAAAGGGGAATGTGCAAAATATGTGCACGGGTGCGAGCGAGACGAAAACAAAGCGGCGGCGGCATGCGTTTGCGTGTGCAGGAGAGTGCGAGTGCGAGGGAGACAGCAACAGCGACAGAGAGCGAGAATGCAGTGGCATGTGTATGTGTGTGTGTAATGTTTTATCAAAAAGCAAAGCGAAAAGACAATGAAAAAAAATGTTGAAAAATTTAACTAGAAATGAAAATGGCTACTTTTTTCACTTTTCCTTGTTTTTTTTATTTTTAAATACACTTGAAAACTTGCATTTTATTTTAATATTTAACTTGAATTTGTTTTAAAGTACATTTTTATAGTCACAAAATGCCGTTCACCTTTTTTAAGCGCCGCATATTTTTCTGCACACACATACGTGGCTGCGGGCGCGCGTGTGTGTGTGTATGGGAGTGTGCGTGTTTGGCTTTTCACATTCTATTACAATATTATCACATTTGGTTTTCCGTTTTTTCTTCAGCTTTTTCCCGTAGTTTACACTAATTTTCACATTTGCCTTGGTGCTCTCCCATATATTTACATAAAAATATATATATATCGTTTATTTGTACACATATATTATAACTGTGTTTATTCCGATTTTTTTGCAGTCGCTCTCATCGTGCGCGTGTGTGTTTGTAAAATGGTAACGAGCGGAGCGAAAGAAAGAAGAAGGTGCAAACACAGAGAGTTAGCAAGCCAAGAGGAAGAAGAAGACAGAGAGCGGCGAGAGGGAGAGCGAGCAAAAGAGCGAGTGGAACTATTCGCTCATTTTTGCAAAAACGGCAACGAAAAAAAGAAACCGAAGCGAGAAACGGGCAGAAGTACACTAAAAAATTTATCCGATTGCTTCTTCTCGGGCCTTCCTCTCTTTACTCTACTTGGTGCTGGGGTCTTAGTTTCTTCTCGTTTTTGTCTTTTTGGTTGATAAATAATTTTGTGCGCAACTTCCGCGCGCGCGTTCGTTTAAAAACAACAGCGAAAGCAAACTACACACGCCGCCAACTACAACTACAAAAACAAGCTGCGCTGCCAGCGTCGCGGCGTTGCAGCTTCTTCTTCTTTCGCTGCTGCCTTCCATTCCACCGAACTTCCAATCCAAAACGGAAAGCAGCTGCTGCCTACCGACCGACGGGAGAAAGGGGAAGGGGAGAGAGTGGGGAGTGGAACCCGAGCAGACAGGGAGAGAGAGGGAGAGAGACAACCGGCGTCTTTGTCAATTCGCGAGCAACGACGCCGGCAGAGGGCGCCATTGCCACAACACCACAAACACAGGGGCAACAAAAACAACAAGGCGGCAGTGCTGCCACTCCACTTTAGAATAAGAAATAAAACAGCTAAAAACGAGCTAAATTTTTGAGAGATTTGAATTGCAAATTTTAATTTAAAACTTTAATTTGTTTCGACCAATTTAACTTATAGTTTTCGACTTTACTTTACTCTAAAATATTCGTATATTCTATTACTATTATATTTTATTTATAAAATCCACTTTGTTGAATTTTCCACAAAAACAGCTATCAAGTAGCCAAGTAGTCAGCTCTATGGGGGAACACAAAATATCAAAAGGAAATATTTTCGAGTGGAATGGGCAAAAAAAATGTAGTGCAATGCCTTCCAATGGGCAGTTAATTGGTTAGCAGAATAATACAAAGTACAGAATAGGATATTGTGTTTTGAGGGGGTAGAAGGCAGAAGAGGAATACATAAATAGAACGTGCTTTGTTCGATTCGTAGAGCATAAATATTTGTGCATTTTGATACCCCTAAAATAGGCTTATATTTCGTAGTGCAAATACGCATTTGATTGGGACAGAAATTGGATACTGTATAAGGCTCTGGAAAGTGCGACAACAGAATGAATTTTGTATTCCATGGAAATTCCCAGTTTCGAGAATCTTAAATAACAACATAAATTTACAACTATGAATTTCGCAATTGTGTTATCAATAGGAAATCAAGCTAGACTGTTCTTTCGAATACATGAGTAATTGAAATGACATTCAAAAATTTCTTTGTAGATTTCTAGGGAGTACGTTCCAAGACCCAACATTGAACCTTAAAGGTTCCGGTATTTTAGAATCATAAATATTTGTTTGCACTCCTATTAAAGCCAAACACGCTTTTAGAATAAAATTTAAACATTTGGAATATTTTCAAATTAAATGTTAACATGTGTAATTTTGTACCTTTTTCCCCTTGCCACCTTACTTTCCTTCAGTTTGCCCCCTCTTCTTATTCGTTGTTCTTTAGACAACAGCTGTCGCATGGTCGCCGTTTATTCCCGAATGCATAAGAAGGAGAGAAGGAAAAAGAGAAGGCGGTGGGGGTAGCATAATGAAAAGCTGGGGAGCGAAAGAAAAAAAGTGTTGCCAAACATGGCCAAAGCATGAAAATTGTAACGGCCAGCGAAACACGAAATTGGCAACACTGAGAAACTGAAAAGGCGAGAAAAACGGAGACGAACGAGGGAGGGAGAGCAAACAAGACGAACGAAAGGCCAGACAATAAAATGATCTGATGATAACGAGGGGGGAGAATATGGGGAGAGGGGCCAGGGAGGAGGGGGAGGATGGGGAGCAGAAGGAGAAGCGCAAAACGCAAAGCGACAAACGACTTAATTTTTGGGCCTTGCCTTTGCCTCACGTGCGCGTGAATGAGATAAATCTATGATGATGATTATGCTGCTGCAGTGCGAAAGGGAGAATAAGAGAGGGGCAGTGCGAAAGGGAGAGGCAGAGGTGCATGCGAAAAGAGCAGAGGAGCAAATGTGGAATGGCAATGCGAACCGAGATGGAATGGAAAGGCACACAGGAAAAAAGACCTACTTTTCGATATAAAATGTAATAAGAATAAATTTGATAGTACTTTGATTATTTTTTAAACTAGCTTAAGGTGTACAATATTTTTTACAGTGTAACCAAATCGAAATGCATTTATTGCTTTTCAATTTTGTTTATAATTGTTCACAATTAAATGCACACTTTTTTCCCTGTGCACAACATAAATAGGGGATAGAGGAATAGGGGTCTGGAAGGATGACAAAGGGAAAAGAAAGTGGGAGGACAAAGGGAAGGAGAGCGGAAGAGAGACGCAAGTGGGTGGTTGGGCGTTGTGTGGGTGTGGCACTAAAAACCAACGGAACTCACATGCATTACGCATATGCATTTCTTATTGAGAGAAAATCTCAGAGCGAGAGAAAGAGAGAGCGACAGGAAGGGAGAGAGCCAGGGGAAGGGAAGAGAAGAGATGATTATGGAGACACATTCCAATAGTGCTTGAAAAACCGTTGTTTTCTAGCATTGTTCTGTAATTTACAGTGGTCATTTCATAATAAGAAGCTTTGGTTTTCCAACGATGCTCAAGCTTTCGACTTTTTATTCGTGTTATGTATTTAAACGTTCTTTATATTGATTTCCTTAATTATTAGTTGCTTTATTTTTAATAAAAGTTCCTAACTAACCAAGTTAGTTAACCAAGATTCGTATGTCTCAATAGTAAAATTGGCCATATGCAAGGTAATCAATAAAGTATTTATTATTATTGTACCCTTATTTGGTCACTAAGAAAATTAAATTATTTTTGCAATAATTTATGAAGAGAAAATGAACTTAACTCGTTACCCTTACGCAGTGCACACTGTGATTTAAATTGAGGAAGTTAAACTTGTCTTGGGTTGTACTATTTTGTGGTCCCGAAAACTTAAGCTTGAGAGCTACCCTGCCTTCCTAGTTGCAGTTTAAACAAAACAAAAAAATAAGCTAAGCGAACAAGTTTTGTCTTAATTTTTTTTTTGGCAATATTGTAAATAAGAGAGTAGTGGTGTAAATGTGTGTATTTTTCAAACTGGTTTGCTGCTGTCCCGCAAGAGACGTTGACTTCAAGCCAAAGAAAAATAAAAGAAAAAACAGTACAAAAAGCAAAAAAGCACAGCAAAATCACATCGAACCGCAACTCGGTTCGACTGCGCCGCCGGCAGCGCACAGTGGTCTGTCCTATATATGGGTCCACAATTAGAAATGCAACCACAAAACATTGGACTAAAGTAGCAAAGTCGCCTCTAAGTCAATATTTATTTCGGTAAACTTGTTTTAAAATCCGCGAGGTTGTATTTTTCTAATTTCAAATATACTGATTAAAGGCCGCTTTCTCTATATAAACTTTAAGTAGGCTTCACACTTCGAGTTCATATACATTTTAAAGGTTTACACCCTACATTAGATAAACATGCGGACGATAAATAGATAGGTAGATATATCTTCGTTACCATTCATAGCTAAAAACATAAAAGCTCAATATTTATCCGCCCTCTCCACACAACATCGACCACTGTGCAGCAGCGCAGTCCGCGCTCCGCTTTGCCGCTTCTGCTGGCGCAGTTTAACAGTTCACGTCGATGAGTCAAGGTCGAGAGACGTCACGCAAATTTTCGTTTTCATTGCCTTTTGCCCACAGACAAAAAATACAACAACAAACGGCAGCGAACGAGCGAGCACACGCTCACATACATTCCATACACATGCAAGCGCACATGCTGTTTTATTTTTAGACACGAATGACGAGCCGAAGAGGAAACGAAGTTCCACGAGAGAGAGAGATGGCAGAAGAGAGCGCAACAAAAACCATCTGCTCGCTACAAAAATGAATGAATAAATATCGTTGTTGTTGCTTCAAATTTAGGCTATTGAAAATTGTTGGCAATTTAAATATAAACATTATCTAAAAAGGGGGAAATGAATTTAGCGCTGCAATAAAAAGCACTTGATTAACCCATTTTACAGGCGTGGCGGGGGGAGGGGGTGAGTAAATGCGGGAAATGTTTGAAAACGGAAAGCAGTTCTAAATTGTGCTTAATATCAGCATTTTTCTACTTATTAATGGTAATTGATTGTTTGTTTAAAAGTTCATTATTCATTATAGTATATTAAATTAAAATAAAAAAACCATTATATTTGCTATCAATCTACTATTGGTTGCTCTGAGGTTTTTCAGCTGATTCTTTATGACGTTATTACTAAACATTTTATTTAATTAAGAAATTATGTCTTGTGATTGTATTTATTTCACCAGAAATAATCTACAAAAGGTTTGTGTTTGGTTATCAGTTAATTTTTCTGACCACACATTTGAGTTCATTGGTCTTATCAGTAGTTGTGGTTTTTTATGTGAGAAATTCTCAAAGACCCAAAGGATTTGGTTCTAACTAATACGAAAATTCCCATTTCAATGGAAATATCCAGAACTTTTTGATTTACCCAATAGTCATTTTATTCTATTGAATTGTTTACTTGCTATATTTCGCGGACGAAACACGCTTCCAAAAAAGAGAACTAAAGTAAAAGGAACAAATTTTAAAATTAACTATTATATTTTCGTATATAAAAACGGGAAGCCTTTTTATATTTATATTCGTTTTATAAACTATTTGAACTATTTGACCAACTAGAACCACAATTTGTTTCACAGTTTTCTTATCGGCGTTTCTATTTTGATTTCGCATTACCCATACCATTCGACTTTTAGCTTAATTTATAAATTCCCATCGGGTGTTAGCATTAACATAGTTTTCGTTGTTGTTGTTTTTTTGTGGCCCAATTTTGTGAGCTAACCTATTCGCCGCTGTTAACGCAGGCGTCGCAGTCGACGCAGGCTGGGCGCTCAGCAGAAAGCGCTGTTATTGCTACTCGCTCTCTCCCTCTCGCTCACCCACTTAGCACGTGCACGTACAAAACCGCTTAATGTAAACAGAGAGAGCGAAAGAGAGAGAGTCGAGATACACTGAGCGATGGAGGGGAGGGAAGGAGCGGTCCAGGAGAAAAAACAAAGAAAAAAAATGAAACAACAAAACTCACGCTTTTGGTTAATTTGCGGCCACTGACGGCTTTGCTGCTTTTGCTGCCGTTACTCGCGCTGCGACTGCGTTTTCGCGCGGCAGCAGAGGCGCTGGCAGAGGCTAACATTATGTGGCCGCCGCTGTTGCTGCTATTGTTGTTGTTAATGTTATAGTAGTTGTTGCTATTGCTGCTGCTATTGTTGCTATTGCTATTGCTGTTATGCGATGTTATTGTTGTTGTTGCCGTTGATTTTGCACCTCGCTTTTTCGTTTGCTTTTGTTGCTGTTGCGCTACTTGAAATTGCTGTATTTGGAGTATTTCTGGTATTTGCGGTATTTCTGGTATTTTCGGCAAGCGTTGACTTTGATGAAGCTGCTCTGGCTGTTGTTGTTGTATCGGCTGTGTTTCCGGTATTTTTTGCTGACTTTGCAAAGTTATTTGTATGGTTTGCATATGCGGTATTTCATTGATTTGCTGAAAATCAAATATTTGCCGTTGTTGAATCGGTACTTGTTGTATTTGATAACATTGTTGTTGTGGTGGTTGTGTTTGTTGTATTATATGTAACTTGTGTGTTTCTGGTATTTGCTGAACTTGTAGTAAGCCATGGCTATTTTGAATTTGATGTTGGTTATGTTGGGGTAGTAAATGCGAAATTTTTTGTATGTGCTGCTGATGGTTTTGGGGGTTTAGGTTTAGCTCCTCGATCCTTCTAATTTGTTGTTGCTGTATGTGTATTTGCTGTATTTGCAAATGTTGCCTTTGCTGTTGTATTTCTTGTATTTCCAGTTGTTGTTGCTGCTGTTGTTGGTGCATTGCTAAAGCGAATGCAGCACAAAGAGGAGACGGCGTGCAAGACATAACATGTTCGCCCCGCCGAACTAGCGCTATCTCGCTCTGGCGCGAAACAGCTGACACTTGCCGGCTAAAATCAGCTGCTCTTGCTCTCTCACTCTCTTCGCGGCTCTCCCTCTCTCCCCGTTTTTCTTTGTGTTTTCGCACACTCACAAACTCACACAGAGATGCACAAGAAAAAAAACAAGTCTCACTTTTTTCTTACACGTTTTATTTTTGTTTCTTTTTTTTGTTGTAGTAGGAAGTTGTGTGCGCGAATTTTTAGCGACACGACGCGACACGTCACGTTGCTCGCTCTTTAAGTTTAAGTTCGACACTGAGAGCCAGTCGGCTAAAATTGGCAAATCCAAAGCACACACCACACACACGAAAAACACAAAAAAATAATAAAACCGAACGCGACTCAACGAACGTTGTTGTTTTTTCTGGTTTCTTGCATACACACACCTTATGTACATATATATATTTATGTGTTTATATGTGGGCAGTGTGTAATGTCTGCTAACCGAGTGAACTTAAATTGTGTTTAGCAACCGCCGACAAAACCAAAACGACACCGACCGCGTCTGCACTCGAAATGCCGCTCTGCTCTGGGCTGCTCTCTGCTCTCGGCTCTCAGCGGCGCTCCTCTCGTTCCGGCGCTCTCTCTGCCTCTCGGTCTCCTGCCCCTCCTCTCTCGCTCTCGTTGCTTCGCGATGCTTCGCGTTTGTTCTTGTTGGCAAGGCCGCCGACTGCGCTGCCGGCGTCGACTGCGGCGTTAGAAAGCTTGCACATTTTTTCACTGCAATGTTTTTACATCGTCGTATATTCCCCTTCTTACAGTTTTTTAAGTGTGCTTTTATAAGGTGGCAATCGCAATCGCAGTCTTAAACAATTTCTTTTGGGTTTTATTTTTATTGTTCTTATGTTTCACCAACTTCTTTGATTTTTTATACGCTTTTCAAAATTATCTTATGTTTTTGTTGTGTACTTCTTATTTTCTTATTATAAAATTTCTTTTCCATTGTTTACGCCATTTAATAAATTAAAAAAAAACTACCATTTTCAGGACATCAACATTAAAATGCAAATTTTAACACCTTTAATATTTTGTAATCAAAAAGCAACCGCACAACAACAAATGAAACCAGGTGACCTCGTATTAATTTGTTCAAGTGCTGTTTAATTACAGTTATAGGCACATATGCAAAACCAAATAAAAATATGTTTAATTACTTATATTAAGCATATGTAAATACACATGAACAATTTTATAACTTCATGAATTAAAATTAAACTTATAAAAAATATATATATATATTATTTTTAAGACCCTAAATATTTTTAAAGGAAGTTTACACTAAATGCCATAAAAGTATGATGTTTACTATTTACCACTGGTTGATGAAAATGAGATGGCAATATTTGTGCCGTTATTTGGCCGATGGAATGCAAGCTAACGGTTACCTTGCCAATGACAGGTGATGCAGCCAGACAGAGAGGGGTGTTGGGCTAAAAGAGCGAGAGGGAGTGTAAGGTCGAAAGACCCATCTGCACTACACCCATGGCCTTATTAGGAATTTTAGATATTTTAGCCAAATTATGATTTTAAAAATGATTATTATTCCGTTTGATTAAAAATGTAGGGGTAACTTTTAATTTCCGTTTTTTATTTTAATTCGACAACCCTACTATTATTTTGAGCACAGCTGTATGCAAATGAGGCTGAAATCAATTAGGCGCAAATGAAATGAAATGAAATTCAAGACGAAAATAAAATTACGTGCCAATACACAACAAAAGTCATTGGCATATGGGAATGACGTGATATACATATGCTATATACTCACTTTTGCATATTTCGGTTTTCAACAACCAACATGAAAATCAATTAACTCTGTTCAACGATTTTCACTGGTCTTTCGTTTATTTAGTTTTCTTTAGGTTTTCCAGCGATTTTTCTTAGTTTTTTAATGGATGAGTTGAGTTTGAGTTGCACTTTTTTTGCGATTCGTCGCTGATTTTTCCTCCATTTGATTTGTGAAACTTTCACCCGAAACGAGCCAACAACAAATGTGCCAGAGCCAAATGATTAACTTTTTCTATACACCTCTACCTATTTTTCTCCTATTTTTTGCATATGGGTGAGTTAGTTAGAGAGTGTTGTTTGTATACAAACATACATTATGTGGACATATGCTTTCCCAGGTCCCCGAAAAATAAAAACCGAATGTCAGCTGACGTAATCGCGTAGCATAACAAATAAAAAAAAAAACAGAAAAAAATAAAAGATTCGGCGTATAAAACAAAAGTTTTGTGAATTGGGCGCGCGTGTGTCGCCGTCGTCAAGTTGAGTCAATCAACAAATACACACGGACTCCTATATAATCGTCAGATGTGCATACGAAACTACAGTGAAAACTCTTCAGAAGGAACCATCATGGGATGTTTAAAAATATATATAAAAGTGAATGTACTTTACATCTTATGGAAATGGAATTTAAACAAGTGTTCGTTATCAGAGGTTTCACTGTAGATTAATACAGACATACATACACAGACATAATTGTAAATTGTTAAGCAGTTGTCGCACAATCAGAAAAAAAGAGCAAAGAGAGCAAAACAGAGACACTAAAAGATGAAGAAGACGAAGCAAAAGAGCAAACGAGCGAATCACGAACAAACAAACAAAGGGGAAATGAAGATGTTAAATGGCAAAATCTAAAAGAAGTATTTTTCGAACGATTTCAATCAAGTGGGTCAATCGAAAACGATAAGGAAAATTTTACGACAAATTATCGAAGTTATTTTTCGTTGGCTAGTGCATTTTTTCCAGAGCCCCTAATTGGACTCTAACTCGCCATTTCCGATCAGAAATACTAAACAAATCTCGTAATCAATTAGAAGGCGAATGAGGAGGAGGCATAACTAATTAAAATGTATAAAAGCTTTATGAGATGAAAACAGGCAAAATGCTTAAAATATGCGACAGCTTTTGACGTACGTTTATCGGTTTGTCTTTGTTTGTCGTTTGCTTTGTTGTTTCCCTTTTGATAACGAACGGCGAGTGAGTAAAAAAATAAAACAAGAGAGCCCACTCAAAAAGCATCTAGATCGAGAAACAACAAATGAACATGCCGCGAATGCTAAAACAAAACAATGGCGAAAAAACATCTACGGCGAGAAACTGCACCATAAAATGTGGAGAACAGTGTTGTTCGCTAAATAAAAAAAAAGTCACGTACTGGCTTAAAAATAAAACCTAAAAGGATGTGTTAGTTATCTTATATTTTAAATCAACACTTAGTAAAAATCCGATAGTGGACTGTCTACAATTAATATTTCTAACCATAAATATTCGCAATTGCTGGGAAAATTCCTATTGTCAATTGCACCTGCCCCAAAAAAAAAGGCCAGTTCTAGCGGGAAAACCCCCAAGCGGACAGCAATGTTTCTCTCGCAAAGTCGCGAGTAATCGACGGCGTCTAATTATGCTGCACCAACAAATACAACTAAAACAAGAACAGCCATCGCGAGAGGGAGAGCAGGCCCAGAGGAGAGGGAGTGGGAGAACGCAAAAAAAAAGAGCGGAGAGAGCGACCCAGTCAGTGGAAAACAGACGACGACCCACGACAACAAAAAACGCAGCGAGTGGCGACGAACGAGTTGCTCTCGCCCCCTCTCTTTTTCTCACCCCCTCTCGCTCACACTTTAAAAACAGTTCAATTTACTATTTGAGCAAACGCGAAATGCAAAAACAATCAGCACACACATACACAAACACAAGCACTCGGAAATAAAGAAGTTAAACAGAAAAACAACGAATACAGAGAGGCAGAGTGTCGGAATAAAATAAATAAAAATAAAAGACAAACTGACGTTGTTTGACGATGTGTCGTCGCCGTCGCCGCTGCCGCTGCCGTTTTCGCTTTGCGTTTTTTCGCCGTTTCTTTTTCTTTTCGCTTCTTTCGTTTTCCTTTTTGGTTTGCGCTTCGTTTTGGCTGCGCGTGTTTTTCGTTTCAGTTATTATTGAGACTAAAAATGCGGCGTGAGATTTGATTGTGAGTAAGCGCAACGCAAAGCGCAAATCGTCAAAACGGCGGCGCCGGCAGAGGCAGCGACTGCGGCAGCGACGTCGGCAGAGTGCGGCTCACACGACAAAAAAAATACGTAGTAATAATAATAAAAGGCGACGACATAGAAAATTCACAGAAGTAAAAGCCTACGAATGACGAACGAAAAGCAGGACAAAAAGTTGAATACCCTGGAAAATATTTAAAAACTTACACCGAAGTTTTTACAAATACTGTTTTGAATCCAATTAAATGATAATATAGTTTTTAATAGTCTTAATTAGTGGAGTTCATTTCTAGAAATACAACCTGTACACATACAAAAATTCTATTTTTTCTAGATCTGATAAGATCTGATATCTTAGATAAGCTTACAAATCAAACTCTAAAAATATGCACTTTCCTTTACTTAATCTTCGATAATCCCCACTAGAAGTCGAATACCCTCTTTCATAGGGTGCTAACGCGAATAGAAAGGGAAAACCGAGAGCGGGGTGATGTTTCGGCTCGCCAAAGGAAGTCCCCGGAAAATTAAAGCCTGACAACCGATACAACCTCGAGTGGGCGTTCGGGCCAGACGACAGACGAGGGGCGTGGCACACAGTCATTGGCAGAAAATTTACGGGGCGAGAACAAAAAAAAAGGTATTAAATTCACCTACACTTTTTTTTTTTGTATGCTTCTTTTCTGCCTGTGTCAACAGCAAATATTTCATATGAGGTAATCGACTTTGTCGACGTGAAACGTTTTTCTGTTTATCAAAAATTTATAAATATACCCGGCAAAACAAAACAAAACCGAAAATTGCCAAAAAGTCAGACAAAGAAGCAACAACAGAAACATTACCGCATCTGTTGAGATGAATAATATTCCCTTTTTTTTTTCATACAAAAATAGGTGAGAAATCTTGACAAAAATTTCACTTCTCTGGCAAATGGAATTTTTGAGGACTATTAAAAAGAATAAAATTAAAACGAAACTGCAGGCGCTGGGGCAATTAGTTTATTTTTAGAGCAGTTCAAGAGGGCAGGGAGAAAAAAGAGCGGGTATATCGAAATAAATAGGAAGCGAAGAAGAGATGGGGGATAATAATAATATAGTGTAGTGGATGTGGATGTGGATGTGGATGTGGACGTGGATGTGGATGGTGTATGATGTGGCATATACGGTCTGAATCGGAATGGGTCTGTCAATGAGTTAACTTCATTATTCTTATCAACGGGAAAAAGTCGGGGATACTTATGTACATACAAGTGTATGTATGTACAGAGTGGTATGTGAAAGCAAGTACATTATGTACGCGAGGAGAAAGATAACGAATGCAGAGGGAGCAGCGGTAGAAAATAGGGGAATACGACCGAGATTGTGTTGGCTACTGTTATACAAGTCCACGGAACCACATTCCCCATGTACTTTGTGCATGGTATGGGCAAAAAATACATCTTAAAATCGTTTAACTAACTGGTACACAACAAATCGTAAGCCTACTAATTTTGTAATATTTGACCGGAACTAGGGAATACCTGTTAAACTCTGTAAAT